GCTCTGGGGGAAAGTCCTTGTCTCTTTGAGCTTCTGCTCCTGGGCGATCTTCATGTGGCTTGGCATCTCTCTTCCCCCATCTCTGCTCTGCTCACTTGTTTAATCTCTTTTATATCTCAAAAAAGATGGACTCAAGACACACCCTACACTAATTCTTCCTCATTAAAATAACAAAGACAACCCATTCCCATAGGAGATTATAACCATAGGCCTAAAGGTTAGGATTTACAACACGTATTTTTGGGGAACATAATTCAATCCATAAGAACCATTTAGTGTACTCCAACAAATTAGATAACCTAGATGAGATGGGCAAATCAGAGAAACACACAAGTTACCAAAACTAACCCAAGAAGAATTATAAAATCTGAACAGAACTATAACAAGTAAATAGATTGAATCAGTAATCAAAAACCTCCCAAGAGAGAAAAGTCCAGGATCAGATGGTTCCAGGTTCAATTCTGGGCCAAGGCGCCTCATGCGCAGCCACCAGCCACAGTGTTTTATTCTGTTGGACATGAGTCGGGGGCCAGAAGGCCAGCAGCTAACAACAACAACGGCAGTTTCCCAGGAAAGATGATGGTGGCTTGGGTTGTGATCATAGAGGTGGCAGTGGACAGAAATATATGGATTATTCTGAAGGTGCACCTTATGGAAGAGACGTGGGAGGTGAGCAAAAGAAAGGGGAACCCAGAATGAGGTCTAGGTTTTTTAGTCTGAGTACCTGAGTGAGCATTGTAAAATGAAGATTGTAACAATATCACTCTCTTTGGGTTGTTAGCATCATGAAAGTGCTTAGAACAGTGCCTAGCATGCAGTAAGTGCTCAATAAATGTTAACTTCAAAAATGGTACTGGTATTCATAGTGGCCTAAAAGTGGGAACAACCCAAATGTCCATCAGCTGATGAACGGATAAACACAATGTGGTCCCTCCATGCAGAGGAATAATAAAAGGCATTAGATATTGATATACGCAAGACATGGTGTTTTCAATAGCCTCATATACATGTGAAAGCTGGGCACAAGTAAGTGTTCTGGAATTCCCATTCTTCACAATGTTATCCATAATTTGTTATGATCCACTCTCTTAGTTATCCGGTGCAGCTATAAAAGACATACCACAAGTGGATGGTTTTAACAAAGAGTAGTTTATTTCCTTACAGTAAAATAGGCTAAAAGTCCAAATTCAGGGTGTCAGCTCCAGCGGAGGGCTTTCTCTCTCTCAGCCTTCTCATCTGTGTTTCCCCGGACTAGAAGCTTCCCGGTGCAGGGACCCCAGTCCAAAGGACGCACTCTGCTCCTGGCACTGCTTTCTTGATGGTGTGAGGTCCCCCACTCTCTGCTTGCTTCCCTTTCCTTTTATCTCTTGAGAGATAAAAGGTGGTGCAGGCCACACCCCAGGGAAACTCCCTTTACATTGGATCAGGGATGTGACCTGGGTAAAGGTGGTGTTACAATCCCACCCTAATCCTCTTTAACATAAAATTACAATCACGAAATGGAGGCCAGCCACACGATTCTGGGAATCATGGCCCAGCCAAACTGATACACACATTTTTGGGGGGACATAATTCAAACCATGATATCCACACAGTCAAATGTCTTTGCATAGTCAATAAAACATAGGTAAACACCTCTCTGGTATTCTCTGCTTTCAGCCAAGATCCATCTGACATCAGCAGTGATATCTCTCGTTCCACATTCTCTACGGAATCCGGCTTGAACTTCTGGCAGTTCCCTGTCCATGTACTGCTGCAACCACTTTTGAATGATCTTCAGCAAAATTTTACTTGTGTGTGATATTAATAATATTATTTGATAATTTCTGCATTTAGTTGGATCCCCTTTCTTGGGAGTAGGCATAAATACGGATCTCTTCCAGTCATTTGGCCAGGTAGCTGTCTTCCAAATTTCTCAGCATAAACAAGTAAGCACTTCCAGGGCTGCATCCATTTGTTGAAACATCTCAGTTGGTATTCCGTCAATTCCTGGAGCCTTGTTTTTTGTCAATGCCTTCAGTGCAGCTTGGACCTCTTCCTTCAGTACCATCAGTTCTTGATCCTATGCTTCCTCCTGAAATGGGTGAATACCGACCAATTCTCTTTGGTGCGGTGACTCTGTGTATTCCCTCCATCTTCTTCTGATGCTTCCCGTGTCGTTTAACATCTGCCCCATAGAATCCTTCACTATCGCAACTTGAGGCTTGAGTTTTTTCTTCAGTTCTTCCAACTTGAGAAATGCCGAGCATGTTCTTCCTTTTTGGCTTTCTATCTCCAGGTCTTTGCACATGTCATTATAATACTTTACTTTGCCTTCTCAAGCTGCCCCTTGAAATCTGCTGTTCAGCTCTTCATCATTTCTTCCCTTGCTTTAGCTACTCGACGTTCAAGAGCAAGTTTTAGAGTTTCTTCTGACGTCCATTTTGGTCTTTTCATTCTTTCCTGTCTTTTTAATGACCTCTTGCTTTCTTCATGTATGATGTCCTTGATGTCATTCCACAACTCTTCTGGTCTTTGGTCATTACTGTTCAACACGTCAAATCTATTCTTGAGATGGTGTCTAAATTCAGGTGGCATAACTCCAGGTTGTACTCTGGCTCTCGTGGACTTGAACTTGCCTATCAGCAGTTGATGGACTGTACGGCAGTCACCCCCTGGCCTTGTTCTGACTGATGATATCAAGCTTTTCCAGCGTCTCTTTCTACAGATGTAGTGGATTTGATTCCCGCATATTCCATCTGGTGAGGTCCACGTGTAAATTTGCTATTTATGTTGATGAAAAAAGGTATTTGCAATGAAGAAGTCATTGGTCTTGCAAAATTCTATCATGCGATCTCCAGCATCATTTCTGTCACCAAGGCCATATTTTCCAACTACCAATCCTTCTTCGTATCCAACTTTCACTTTCCAATCACCAGTCATTATCGATGCATCCTGATTGCATGTTTGATCAATTTCAGATGCAGAAGTTGGTAAAACTCTTTAATTTCTTCATCTTTGGCCTTAGTGGTTCGTGAGTAAATTTGAATAATGTTCGTATTAACTGGTCTTCCTTGTATGGGTATGGATATTATCCTATCACTGACAGTGTTGTAATTCAGGATAGATCTTGAAATGTTCTTTTTGATGATGAATGCAATGTCATTCCTCTTCAAGTTGTCATTCCTGGCATAGTAGACCATACGATTGTTCGATTCAAAGTGGCCAATACCAGTCCATTTCAGCTCACTAATGCCTAGGTTATCGGTGTTTATGCATTCCATTTCATTTTTGACAATTTCCAATTTTCCTAGATTCGTACTTCATACATTCCACGTTCTAATTATTAATGGATGTTCGCAGCTATTTCTTCTCATTTTGAGTCATGCCACATCAACAAATGAAGGTCCCGAAAACTTTGCTCCATCCACGTTATTAAGGTCAACTCTACTTTGAGGACGCAACTCTTCCCCAGTTTAGAAGGCTAGAAGTCCGAAATCAGGGCACAAGCTCCAGGGGAAGACTTTCTCTCTCTGTTGGCTCTGGGGGAAGGTCGTTGTCATCAATATTCCCCTGATCTAAGAGCTTCTCAGCGAAGGGGATCCCAGGTCCACTCCCAGCTCTTCTTTCCTGGTGCTAAGAGGTCCCTCTCCTCTGTACTCTATTCCTTTTTTAAGTCTCAAAAGAGATTGTCTCAAGATACAACCTAATCCTGTAGATTGAGTCCTGCCTCGTTAACATAACTGCCTCTAATCTTGCCTCACTAACTTTATGAAGGTTAGGATTTACAACACGTAGGATAATCACATCAGATCACAAAATGGTGGACAACCACACAGCACTGGCAATCATGGCCTAGCCAAGCTGACACACATTCTGGGGGGGACACGATTCAGTCCGTAACGCCACCCACTTGTGGTATTTCTGCTATAGCAGCACTAGATGACTAAGACAATGTCGCAGGCTGCAACATGGATGAGCGTTGAAAACATGATGTTCCGTGAAAGAATCCAGTCACAAAACGCCACAGATTGTATGTTGTTGGTGGGTGCCGTCCAGTCAGTTCCAACCCATAATGACGCTACACACAACGGAACAAAACACTGCCCGGTCCTGCGCCATCCTCACGATTGTTACTGTGTCTGAGCCCATTGTTGCAGCCACTGCATGACCTCATTTACATGGAACAGCACCAGCAGAGGTCAGAGTGGTGAGCTCTGAAGATGGAGGAAGGGCCACAAGCCAAGGAACTTGGTGGCTACTAAACCGAAAACCCTAAAGCTGTTGCCGTTGAGTCGATTTCGACTCCTAGTGACCCTACAGGACAGAGTAGAACTGCCCCGTAGGGTTTCCAAGGAGCAGCCGGTGGATTCGAACTGCCAACCTTTCGGTTAGCAGCCTGAGCTCTTAACCACTAGTAGCTGAAAAAGGCAAGGGAATAGATTCCCCTGTAACTCCGGAAGGAACCAGCCCTGCCAACACCTTACTTTAGTCCAGAGGGACTGATTTTGTACTTTTGGCCCCCAGAACTGTCAGAGACTAAGTGTGTGTTGTAGGCTGCTAAGTTTGTGGTGATTTGTCACAGCAACCCCAGGGACTGTGGGTGTTTTCCTAACCTCTCTGAGCCTCAGTTTCTACCTCTGTAAAATGGAGACAATTATAGTCACTCCCTCACTGGGCCTCTGTAAAGATCAGTGAAGTCATACAGCAGGTGTTAATTGGTTTTGTTATGGGTGTTTTCCTGAGTTTGAGGTGCTTGGGGGCACCTAGGAGGGAGCTGAATGAGCAAGCCTAGATGTAAGAGATTTGAGGAAAAGGTTTGAAAAGTTAAGGTCATAGAGGAAAGTGGTTTGGAAAATAAAAGGCTGTACAAATTGCAGGTGAGATGCGAACACAAGCATTATTATTGTCCTCATCATGGCTTTCCAGCCCTGCCTCCCTCCTCCCCAAAGTGCCCAGAGCTGAACACGTACACAGGGTTGAGATGCACTTGGGTGTTTACTGGGAACAAGGCGTCTTACAGGGCCTGGCTGGTCACACTTTTTTGGTGATGCTCTTGGGGGTGGCAAGCTCGTAGAGGCGAGCGGATGCCTGAGCCCCCAGGGATGCTGGAGAAATGCAGTAGGGGTCGTAGCCCTCATTGAGGTCCTTGCGCACTTTCGGCTTGGCCAGGGAGATGATCCGGGGGCTGGCCACTGCCTTCTTGGTGACCTCCAGCACCTGCCAGCGTGGGTCTCGGTCGGGGACGCACTTGTCCGATTGGGCCTTGGGCACTGGAGGGGGCAGGAAAGAGGGGAAGCAGTCAGGAGCGAGAGCCACTCAATGGCCATGTGGCCACCTCCACCCACCTGAGCTCAACCTTCCAGGCCAAAAGTCTCAAGTTCAAAGGGCCCATCCATCAATGGACAACGGCTAAACACACTGTGGTCAGCTCATGCGGTGGAATGTTATTCAGCCGTAAACAGGAACAATGTTCCGATACAACATGGCCACGCGCCTTTGCACATCTGCAGGCACACCTTGTTGCCATTAGGTTGATTTCAACCCATATAACAACACTCGATGGCAACAGGTTTGGTTTGTTTTTATGAACACCCCGATGGAAACATGCCAAGCTGGTGAGATTAACTGGAAAAAGAAAAAACACCCAATTCCGTCTGACTCATAGCAACCCTATAGGACAGAGGAGAACTGCCCCATAGGATTTCCAGAGAGTGACTGGTGGATTCAAACTGCTGACCTTTTGGTTAGCAGCTAAGCTCTTAACCACTGCACCACCAGGGATTCGAGGTGATTTTTATTTTCTTCTTTATGATTTTCTGTGTTTTCCAAATTCTTTACAATTAGTACATATGAGTGCTTTTGTCGTTGGGGGAGGGGCATGGAAAGAGCTTTAAAGGACAAGGAGGGACTCTCACCTAGAACCACTATAAAGCCCCCTTTGCACCTCACTTGGTTCTCTGCACCCCAACTTTCTCTCCTGCACTCACCGCCCCTCCTAGGAGACCCACTCAGACAGCACCCTCTCCTTCCAGACTGTGAACTTTTCTGATTCTGCTTCCGTGGCACTGAGGGAGTGAGCCCTCTGTCAGTTGCCCGAGAAGCCTGCACGGCTGCAATGTGAATTGTTCACAGGGACTTGGACAATTGTTCTGTAGTTCAGGGAGGAAATGAGGGAAGACAGAAGCAAAAATCCGGAAGGATCAGGCTTCAAATCAAGTCTTCCAGCCCCCTGCCTAGTCCAGTGTCTGTCAAGAGCACCTGCCAGAGGTGAAGGCACAAGGACACCATAGGAACCAAACCCCGCACTCGACTCACTGGCCAAGTGAAGGAGGCGGTTATAGTCAGACACGTGTGGTTTAGGTTTCGGCATGGGGTCCCACTCTTCCAACAGGGTGGCTGGGGGCCTGGGCTTTGCCAAGTGCAGGATCCGTGGGCTGGGGATGGCCATCTGGGCTGCCCGGGATACCTGGGACACCTGTGGACAGAAAGAAGGGATGGGGAGTAAGACAGTCCACAATTCTTCATAAGCCCCTGGAGCGAAAGAACCCCCTAAGCCAAGCCCTGTGAGTGTCAGAGTAGAACTGTGCTCCATGGGGATTTCAGTGGCTGTGATCTTTCGGAAGTAGATTGCCACGCCTTTCTTTGAAGGTCCTGTTTGTGGACTTGACCCTCCAACTTTTGGCTAGCACCAAACACATTAACCGTGCCACTCAGGGAGAAGTTCTTTTGCAACGCATTCAACAAAGGATTGGTAACCATCATACATGAAGATTTTTGTTGTTGTGTGAAGTTGAGTTGATTTTTGACTCATAGCGTCCCCACATGACAGCGTAGAACTGTCCCATAGGGTTTCCAAGGCTGTAATCTTTACAGAAGCAGACTGCCACATCTTTTTCTCCTGAAGAGCGGCTGGTGGGTTCACACTGCTGACCTTTACGTTAGCAGCTGAGTGCTTAACCGCTACGCCACCAGGGCTCCTTAGAAACAAGAGCAAAGTGGGTAAATGATCTAGGGCACTAAACCTAAATGAAGACTCCAAAACCCATTGCCGTCAGGTTGATTCCTACTCACAGCGACCCTATAGGACAGGGTAGAACCGCCTCATAGGGTTTCCAAGGAGCAGCTGGTGGATTCAAACTGCTGACCTTTTGGTTAGCAGCCACTTAACCACTGAGCCACCACGGCCCCATCAATAGAGGTCTAGATAAATTAATCACAGTGTATTCATATGACAGAATGCAATTAACAGTTAAAATACATTTTCTTTACGAATTTACATGGATCACTCTATAAAAGTATATGAAAGGAAAAATCAAGAAAGACATGATGCCATTTATGTACATTAAAATCACGAAACACTACAATTATGGTCTGTGGGTCCGTATATGTCAAAAATGATGGAAATGAGGCAGATCTGGCCAAACTAAGGTGGGTGACGGTGGAAGGACCCCAGCAGACGTTCCGTGGAGAAACCTGACCGCTCGCTCCACAGATAAAATCAGGTTTCCCAGAGAACCCATAAGCAACCGGAATTGTTGTCTTTGGCACTTTGAGTCTGTCTGCTCAAAGACGGAGTACCCAGACTGAGCTCTGCTACCTTCCCCAGCCCACTTTTGGGTGGGGCTGTGACTTCCCCCCAAGATTGGGGTGGGGGTGAGATCCACAGAAGAACCAGCTACCTACCTCAGACATGTTTATACTCCAAATGTTATTCCGGATCCTAGGGGCGGCCAGTTCCTTCAAGCGACTAGATGCTTGGTATTCCAAGGTGGACCGAGGGATGGGCCAGAAGGGAGTGGTCCTGAGGGACATCCATGGTTTAGACCACTGGCCCAGCCAAGAGAGAACGTGTCTGCGTGTTTCTGTGTGCATGTACGTCATCTCTTTCTCAGCTCCTGTCTCTAGGGATAACGGAGACCCTGGGAATGTGGTGGGTTTTGAAAACATCACCAATAACGGATTCCTAAAAGACGCCTAAGAGAAACCCCCGCGAGTTCTCAAGGACAATGCTACCCCCTCTCCAGGTCACCCCCCTCAATGAGCAAATGGCTGTCTTCGGGTTCAGTCCCTCCTCATTCCCCTCTATGGGGACAGCTCCTTCCAGGACCCTTTCCCCACCCCTATGATCTGGAGCTTGAGTGAGGATTTAGACCCAAGGGATCAAAGTGTTTGTCCTGCAGTTAACGCAGGAAGCTGGGGAAATGGACCATCACTGGGACTGTGCCTGCTAAAATCAGAGCTCAGCTATGCCTCTGCTCCACAAGCAAAGCTGCATTTCATTGATTCCAAGGTGGACTCCGTTCACATTTTAACATCTGAGGATGGAACGCAGCTTATAGTGCTGTCAGCCAGGTGGCAGAAGCTCATGGTTGTCCTTGCCTGTTCTTAGCTGTAGCTGTTCACACAGAAATCACTTCAGTCGAGCTCTGGGCATTGTTGGTTCTACAGGTGTTAGGTTCAATTCCAGTTTAAACTGCCTTCAAACACTATGATTCAGCACTAAAATGAAAAGTTATTGTGCACACAGACAGGTGTGAACACAGTGTGTGGGAGAACGCACACATCCACACCTCTGAGTCAAAGGCGATTCAAAGGAATTGGATACATATTAGTTACCTTATTTCAGTTATATTTTCCTTTAAATGTAATCAGATTTGTGTCGGAATAACTCTAAAGATCACTTTTCACAAGCATGAAAATTCTAAATGATAAGAAGAAATTGTATCATAAGTTGTACATGAAAAAATGCGGGCCTACTATGCAAATGAAGTGCCTGTGGCCTGCCAAGAGGGGGTTGGTCAGTTTGTGGTCTTGGTGGGAGTTCCAGCCCTTGAAACTGACAAGAGGTTGTGTATATAAACAGCCAACCCCACAGAGATTTAGCAAACAGAAAGAAGCAAAAGAAGAAGCAAGAAGCAGTAGCAATAGCAGACACACAAGAAGCAAGGAATCCCCTAAAAGAGATGTAACACTGGTCAAGGGTTATAACACTGAAGACCTTGAGTAGGCCCAGAAGGGTTCCAGTGATGATAAATGGCAGAACCAAAAGGAGCCTGTCCTCAGGGGGCTGAGAGGAGGCCTGTGTGGTCAGGAGGAGCTGAAAGAGCTGTCCCACACTGAGGAAGGAAGACTTTGCCTACATGCTTCCTGATCCTGATTCTGAGTTGTACACTGTTCCCTAATAAACCATTTACGGTTTAAGTATGGTCTGTGAGTTCTACGTGGCAACTGCTAACAGATTATCAAACCTAGAAGAGCAGTAGACAGTGCTGTCGGAGGGACAGCTGATGTCAGAATTGCTAAAAAGTTTGGAGGGTGGAGGTAGGTCTGATCTCCATGTCATGAGAATTAGCTTTGGACTGGTGGTGGTTCTTACCCTTCTGCCTTGTGAACTTAGACAGGTTCTGATGCTACTCTTCTTCCTCTCCTACATTTTACAGTATGTATGTCCAAGTGGAGAATTGAGGTCAGAGGGGCATGGCCTGCCTGTGGGCATTCAGCTGGGAAGCGACAAACCCCAGTTTGAACTCAGGGTATCTGACCCTTGGGTCCAGGAGTTTTTCTGCAGACTCTCTTCAGAGGGACCCTTTCCCTACCTGTTGTTATTGTAATACTCCGAGTAGAACCTTTTAGGTCGAGCCAGCTCCTCCACGCGAGGGGACACCACTACACAAAATGGGAAACAACCCAGTCACCCCAAAGCCAGTGAACCCCAACTTAAACAGCCCACCCTCCCCTGGGGATCTCTGAAAACTGAGTCAGCATCCACAGCTCCAGTAGGAGGCCCAAGCTGCGGGGCTGTGGGCTGGCCGAGGGTGACCCAGGATGGGAGCTGGGGCTCGGTACAGACCCAAGACCACGGATGGGAAAGTGAATTTGGGTCTAGAGTTGGTGGAGGCCTAGGGCTTCCAGGGGCTCAGTATTCAGTGTTATTTATCTCCACGATGAGCGTTGTCTAAATGCTTGATTTGAAGAAAGGAAGCTAACACTCTAAACAAATGTGGGAGCCAATCAGGAAGGGAAGGCAAAGGGCTTTCTGGAAATACTGACCCCCACCTCTGCTGTGGTGTAAACAGGAACCCCCTGGAGAATGTGTCCCACACCCCACCCCCAGGATGCACCTCCAGAAGGTGGGGGACAGAGTCCAGAGATGGGACCCTTGAAGATGGAGCACAAAGATCCCTGGGGGATGGGGGCAGAGACCACTGGGATATGTGGGGGTGCAGAGACCCCTGGGAGATGAAGGGCAGAGACTCTGTCATAGATTGAACTGTGTCCCCCAAAAAATATGTGTCAACTTGGCTAGGCCATGATTCTCAGTATTGGGCACTTGTCCTCCATTTTGTGGCCTGATGTAACTGTCCTCCATCTTGTGGTATTGTGTAATTATCCTCCATTTTATGTGTTGTGGGGCCCTGGTGGCACAGTGGTTAAGAGGTCAGGCTGCCAACCAAAACGCTGAGCAGTTCAAATCCACCAGCCGCTCTTTGGAAACCTGGCGGGGCAGTTCTGCTCTGTCCTGTAGGGTCGCTATGGGTCGGAACCGACTCGCTGGCAACAGGTTTGGTTTTTGGTTTGGTTATATGTTGTAAATCTTAAACCTCTGTATGTTAATGAGGCAGGATTAGCATGGGATGTATCTTGAGTCGTGCCCTTACTAAAGGGCACGACTCAAGTCACCACCTTACTCAAGTCATCTCCTTGCTTGAGTCACACTTTTTATCTCACAAGAGCTAAAAGGAGAGAGAAGCAAGCAGAGAGGAGAGGGATCTCCCTACTACCAAGAAAGAAGAGCCAGGAGTGGAGCATGTTCTTTGCACCCAGGGTCCCTGTGCTGAGAGCCTCCTAGACCCTGGGGAAGATTGATGCCAAGACACGTGGAGATCTCCACGGAACAGCAGGCCCATAGATGCTGAAAGGAGACAAGGAGTGTCCCTCAGAGCTGACAGAGAGAGAGAGAGCCTTCCCCTAGAGCTGGTGCCCTGAATTTGGACTTCTAGCCTCCTACACTGTGAGAGAATAAATTTCTGTTTGTTCAAGCCATCCACTGTGGTATTTCTGTTATGGCAGCACTAGATGACTAAGACTGACTCCCAGAGATGGGAGATGGGCAGGCACAAAGACCCCGAGGTCCCAGGAGCCCAGGCTGGGCCCAGGGTGGGGATAGGAGGTGCTACTTCTCAGTCCCTGCCCCACAAGGCGACAGTTGACACCACGTTCCCCCTCCTTACCCGGCACCGTGATGGATAGGGTGGTGTCCTCAAGAAACCTCTCCGTCCAGTATACAGATGGCCTGGAATACACCAGTGTGGCTCAGTGGGAAGGAGGCACCAGGGGTGCCCTGCTGAAACAGAGGCTCAGGGGTTCCCCGCACACACCCACATACAGTGGGGGACAGTGATGGGGCAGGAGGGGCAGGAAGGGGAGCAGCTCCAAATGAAGGGAAGGGGCAGGTCAGAGAGGACAGTGGGGAGAGGGTCTTAGACCCCTGGGATGTACACTATTGTGAACAAAACCCCTGTTCACGGGAAAAAGGCGTAACTGAGAACAGGGACATATCATGCAAGTCGGCCCACTTGGGGTTAGGAATGGCCCTGGGAAGAGCAAGCCCCCATCCTTGTCCTGGGGAGGAGAAGGGGGTGGCTCCAGCAGAGTGACCCCGGGAACCTGGCAGGTCACCCCATGGGGCAGCAGTGGGAAGGGATGGGACTTACCAGTAGAGGGAGAAGTGCAAGGTTGTCTGGCAGGGGGATATCCAGGCAAAGCCCTGGCAGCAGCCCACCCTGTGATGAGAAGGTCCAGCCCCCACTGCCCTCTGCTCTGGGGCTCCGCCTGCACCCACACTCCCAACTATCCTGGAAGCCCACCAGGGGCCCCTGCCCCCTAGGAGCCCCACCTCCAGTATCTTGACTGCTCACCCCCCCTTCGGCATCCTTCTTAACTGCGTGGGACCCCCTACCCCAACTCTGTCATAGGTGGGAACCTGGGGAGGGCCTGGGAAGATGCAGAGGGGACTCCAGGGGCCACTTCCCCACCTTGCTCCCCCAGGTCCCTAACTGGCATACCCTCACCTGTCTTTCAAGACTTGCCAGTTGGTTTTGGGTCTTGCCAAATTGAAGATCCTCTTCTTCTTCCTCCCTCTGGGCACTGGCCACTGGTGGCTGATGGACAGCCGGCTTTGGGAGAATCGGTGCCAGCTTGGAGCAGCGTTTCCACCCCAACATGATGGGGAGTCCAGAGCCACTTTGTTCTTGCTCGGGCATTTTGAATCTGGTCTTACCCTACCCATACGAGTCTTCCCTCCCTCTGAAGGTGCCTCTTTGAGGCAGAATTTTGTGGTCAAGAGGACCTGAGTGTGTGAGCTTGGCCAAGTCACCTCACTGCCTAAGCCTCAGCCCCCTCCTCTCTGAAGTGGCTGTGAGAATAGGTCTTACCTCCCTGGAGTGTGGTGGTGACCGAATAAGGTAAGTTTCACTATCTCACAAACATTTATCAAGCACCTATTGTATACCGGGCCCCATGGGGGGAACTGAGTTAGGACCCGACTCGGAACCTCTCCCCTCTGGCGTCTGAAGGCTGTCTGCTGACTCCTGAACAGGGGCCTGTGTTCCCAGACTTTGGACTCAAAAGCCATTGGGGGGTGCCCTCACCCCAGCCTATGGCCTTCACTCCCATAACCTCACTCAGAGGCCCCAGGAGGCAGTTCGGCCTCCTCCCTGCATCAAGGGGACGCAGTCTGGTTGTGATGGGCATGGAGCTGCTGCCCCGTCACCCCCTGCCCCGTCCCCCCATCCCACCTCCGCCGCCCTGCCACCCCCGGCCCCCACCGCCCCGCCCCCTGCCACCCCGCCGGCGCCCCACCGGCCCGTCACCCACCTACCTCATTTCAGGAATGTCCTCCTCCACATCTTTCTCCAGAACCCTCTCCAGCTCGGAAAGGACCTCTTCCGCGTCCTCCCCAGCCGTCTCCTCTAGCAGAATGTCCTCCTCGTGGTCCTCCAGTCCCAGCGCGGCAACGTCTGGGTCCTGGTACTTGGGGTCCAGGACCCCCTGGCTGTCTCCTGCAGGGTCCTGGAGGCCCAGGGCATCATCGTCCTGTTCTATCTCTGCCTCCCTTGCAGCCTCAGCGACATGGCTGTGGCTGGTCAAACTCTGCCTATGGTCCCCCATGGGACCTCCCGACCTTGCGCCTTCTTCCCTCAAAACCCAAGTGGCTCTGCGGTCGTCACGACGACGGGAGAATGCCCCGCCCACATTCTTGGCACATTCTGATCTCCCCACTGCCGAGTCACCCCGGACAGGACTGGGGCTCCCCGTCCGCCTCAGCCCCACCCTCTCCCCTCCAGCCACACTGGCCTCAGGGAGGCAGCCCCACTCCCACGGCTGTCTCGCTGTATCCCAGCTTCTCGCCGGTTTCTCCACAGCATTCCGCGTTGCCTAAAGCGGCGTCACGGATTTGTTTTCTTCCTCAGCGTCTGTCTGTGTCTTCTAGAAAGCTGTCTCCCGAGACCAGCAGCTGTGTGTGCTACTCACCGTCGCTTACCCACGGCCTAGAACAGAAAATGTTCTAGTCTACAGAAAAAGATCAGCTCAACCCAAATGGATTCCGATTTGAATGTCAAAACAAAACTCTAAAACCACAGAAAAAAGTATGTAGAGTGGTGCAAATACTTTGCACTCAGCTACTAACCTTAAGGTTGGTGGTTCGAATCCACCCAGTGGCACTTCAGAAGAAAGGCCTGGTAATCTGCACCGGTAAGATTACAGCCATTGAAAACCCTATGGAGCACTTCTACTCTGTAACACATGGGGGCATCACGTCATTGTTGTTAGGTGCCATCAAGCTGGCTCTGGCTCTGACTCACTGCGACACCATGAACAACAGAACTAAACGCTGCCCAGTCCCGTGTTATCCCCACAATCGTCGTTATGTTTGAGCCCATTGTTGCAGCCACTGTGTCAATCCATCTTGTTGAGGATCTTCCTGTGTTTCCCTAACCCTCTACTTTACCAAGCATGATGTCCTTCTCCAGGGACTGGTCCCTCCTGATAACATGTCCAAGGTACATGAGACCATTCTCACTTCCAAGGAGCATTCTGGCTGTACTTCTTCCAAGACGGATTTGTTCTTTCTTTTGGCAGTCCATGGGATACTCAATATTCTTCGCCAACACCACAATTCAAAGGCATCAATTCTTCTTCAGTCTTCCTTATTCATTGTCCAGCTTTCACACGCATATGAGGTGATTGAAAACACCATGGGTAGGGTCAGGCGCACCTTTGTCTTCGAGGTGACATCTTTTCTTCTTAACACTTTAAAGAAGTTGTTTGCAGCAGATTTGCCCACTGCAATGGGTGTTGATTGTGGATCTAAGTAAAATGAAATCCTTGACAATTTCAATCTTTTCTCCGTTTATCATGATGTTGCTTATTGGTCCAGTTGTCAGGATTTTTGTTTTCTTTATGTTGAGGTGTAATTCATACCGAAGGCTGTGGTCTTTGATCTTCATCAGTAAGTGCTTCAAGTCCTCTTCACTTCCAGCAAGCAAGGTTGAGTCAACTGCATAACATAGGTTGTTAATAAGTCTTCCTGCAATCCTGATGCCCTGTTCTTCTTCGTATAGAACAACTTCTTGGATTATTTGATGGAATAAGTATGGTGAAAGGATATAACCCTGACACACACACCTTTCCTGACTTTAAACCATGAAGTATCCCCCTGTTCTGTTTGAACGACTGTCTCTTGATCTATGTTCAGATTCCACGTGAGCACCATGGAATTCCCAGAAGGGTGCCATGAGTCAGAATCAACTCGACAGCACCTTTTTTTTTTTTTAATTTTTTTTATTTAATCTTTCTGCCCTTGGGATAGGAAAGGATTTTTTTTTTAACAGATGCCAAAAGTGCCAATCATCAATTAGGAATAAATTCAGCCATATTAAATTTAAGCACCTCTGATAATAAAAGACACTTTAATAAAATGAAAAGACAAACCACAAATCTAAAGACAATATTTGCCACATACATAACTGATTAGTATCCGTAACATAGAAATAACTCCCACAAATCAAGAAGAAAAAATGATGAACCAAGTAAAAAATAGGCAAAAGACATGAAGAGACACTTCTCAGGGGTGAAAGCCATATGGAAAACATATATACTGAGGAGTGGAATGGCATATTGCATTTGTAACATAAATGTGTTGCCTTTTTCCCTCTATTAGAGTATAAGTGGGCGGACACCAAGCTTACCTGGATCATGGCTGGCACGCACAGGATTTCAGTAACCAGCTGCTGAGCGAATGAAGAAGGCAGCAGTACCCCGGGGTGACCACAAGATGTCGCCCCACTCAAGAGCATAGTGGTCTCTGCTCTATTGGGCGTTAATATACCACTGAGGTCTTGGCTGCGTCATCTCATTGAGTCCTCCCAAAAGTCTGTCCTTCGGTGGGTTTATTATCATCACTCCCACTTCACAGAGAAAGAAACAGGCTCAGAGAAGCAAGGTCACTGGCCGAAGGTTGAACAGGTCGGATCCCTCAGGAACCCAAAGCCCGCAGTGCTGAGGAGAGAGAAAGGCTTGGTGGACACCAAGGGGCCAGTGTGTCGGGAAATGTCCAGGGATTGTGGGTGCAGCAGGGCCTTCCTGGGTCTACATTCATCTCCCAGGAGTCAAGGCACAGCTACACGCTTCCCTGGATCAGTAACCATCTGTGGTTCCCACCTTCTGCAAGAAATGTTCCCGCAGGAGGGACACAGACTGGTGGCTTCAAGGTGCCTGTAAGTGGAACACAAGGCCTGGGGTTAAAGACCATCAAGGGTGACAAGAAGTCACTCCCCTTTTCCTTTAATCCCTGTCCCTCTGGCCAGAAACAAGGCTTCTGAGTATCAAAAGCCTCCATTTTGATTTTTGAAAGCACAGCCCAGTTCCTGAGGGGAAGCAAGGAAAGAAAAATATAGGATGTGCAAAGCTTCCTTCCCCCACTCTGAAACCAAACGGGTGGGGGGTGGCCGAAGGAGAGGGAGCCAAAGAGTGAGTTGAGAGTGAGTCAACTTTGGGGGACCCAGAAGAAGGCTTACCAGAGACCGTGCCCACTCTGCCACCTGCCCCAGGGTCTGGGCACAAGCAGTGGGGAGAACAGAGGACTCAGCAAGGCCTAGGGGACCTGAGAGCAGAATAGACGGCTCCTCTGTCTCAGACAGAGCGTGGGGGAGGTGGCATGGGGGCCTCTATCTGCTTTGTGTTTTATTAATACTTACCAGAGTCTCCCCCTACCCCCCAGCACGACTGACATGGGGCCGGATCTTTCTCTGGGGTGGACTGTGCACTGTAGGGTATCGAGCAGCAGGCCTGGCCTCTACCCACTCGCTGCCAGTAGCACGCCGCCTCTGTCGTGACAACCACAAATGTCCCCAGACATTGCCCAGTGTCCCCGGGGGAAGGATCACCCCTGATACGTAGGGAGGCCTGGTTTGGTGTGCCGACCAGCAGGGCGCGGGGATTTAATACATGCTGTCTGCTTTTGTCTAAAGTAGCAAAAATCCCACACTTGCACACAAAGAAGTTTTGACCCTTTAACTCTGAAAAGGAAGCTGCTGTTGGGTTTGGTTTCTCTGGCCCCAATTCGGGGTCCATTTTCTCCCACAGCAGCAGGGCCCAGAACGAGGTGTCACCGAGGGTCTGGCAGATGGCTCAAAGCCGTGCCCACAAATGTCTGCACACACACACAGCTGGACACGGGGGAGAAGAACGTGTTCTAGTGCCCAAAAAGACGCTGGGGTTGGCAGGGGAGTGCCAGCCCTCCACGTTCTGGGGTGTTTGGGGGTATAGATTCCACGGCCCCAGCCAAGACCAGGATAACCAGGTGCCAAGCAGTCGACTCCAATTCCTGACGCCCCCATGTGTATCAGAGTAGAACTGCGCCCTACAGGGCTTTCAGTGGCTGAGTTTTGGAAGTAGATCACCAAGTTTTCTTCTGAGGAGCCTGTGGGTGACTCAGCCTCCAACCTTTCGGTTAGCGGGTATCTTAGTCACCCAGCGCTGCTACAACAGAAACACCCCAAGTGGATGGCTTTAACAAAGAGAAATTTATTTCTTCACAGTAAAGTAGGCTAGAAGTCCAAATTCAGGGTGTCAGCTCCAGGGGAAGGCTTTCTCTCTCTGTGGGCCTTCTCTTCGGTGTTCCCCTGGACTAGGAGCTTCTCCCCGCAGGGACCTCAGGCCCAAAGGACTCGCTCTGCTCCTGGCACTGCTTTGTTGGTGGTATGAGGTCCCCCTGTCTCTCTGCGCTCTTTTCTCTTTTATTTCTCAAGAGATTGCCTCAGGACATAATCCAATCTTGTAGATTGAGTCCTGCCTCACTAACACAACTGCCGCCCATCCTCCCTCATTACCATCACAGAGGCAGGATTTACAACATATAAGAAAATCACACAATACCAGGAATCATGGACCAGCCAAACTGACACACACATTTTTTTACTTTTTTTTTTTTTATTGTACTTCAGGTGAAGGCTTACAGAACAAATAGTTTCTCATGAAAACAGTAGTACACATGTTGTTTTATGACATTGGTTAACAACCCCACAACATGTCAACCCTCTAACTTCTCAACCTTTTTTTTTGGTGAAAATACATATAGCCAAAGATACACCATTTCAAAAATTTCTACATGCACAGTTCAGTGACATTGACTACGCTCTTCCAATTGTGCTGTTACTCTCACTTAAGATGAAGGCTTACAGAACAAAATAGTTTCTCATTTAACAGTTACTACAAATGTTGCCCTATGACAATGGTTAACAATCTCACAACACATCAACAATATCCTTACTCAACCTTGGGTTCCCTATCACCAGCTTCCTTGTCCCCTTCTGCCTTCTGGCCCTTGTCACTGGACTCCTGTACCTCGTTAGTCTCATTTGGTTTTACGGGGCTGTCCACTCCCGGGCTGAACGGTGAACCTCGGAGGTAACTTCACCACTGACTAAAAGGGTGTCTGGGGGCCATACTCTCGGGGTTTCTCCAGTCTCCTTTAGGCCAGTAAATCTGGTCTTTTTTTTGTGACACACACATTTTTGGGGGGACATAATTCAATCCATGACAGCAGGTGAACAGGTTAACCATCTGTGCCAGCCAGGGACTGTGACTGGGTTCGGGCTAAAACAGAA